AGGGATGTGGGGCAGAAGGGGGAAGGGGGAGGTGGTGGAGGAACATGGAAGCGTAGGGGAAGGGTGGTGGGGTGGGGTGGGAGACACAGTTGACAGACTCATTACATGAGGACGTAAGGAACATTTTATTATTGTAATTGTTTACACCCCTCCACCACAATCCCCGCCACCCCCAAATCAACAAAATTTAGATCAGATCATTTAGGAGGCGGGCTTCTCCACCCTTCCTGAGACGTAGGTGACCCAGACTGAATAAGATACAATTACATCTTTAACTCGCGGGAATCAAACTCACGTCTTATGCATGCAATAGCTATAAGGGTCTAACCACAGTCGCCAATTAAAGTCTATGTACAGCTAAGATAGATGTTAGATATTGACAACTGTTTGTTTGTTTGTTTGTTTGATTGATTGATTGATTGTTTCAGCAACGAGAAGCACGTCGATACAATAATGGCCATAAAGTGCTGGGAAAAACTAAGACTGACAGACAGACAGAAACAACTAAAGTAAAGATGGATGGAAAGAAATGAAAAAGCTATTTACCTGCGATACGATAATGGTCATGCAGCGCTGGGAAAAGGTAAGACAGACAGACAGTAACTACAAAAGTAAAGATAAGATGGAAAGAAATGAAAAAAGAGTATGTACCTGCGAGCTGTATTTGCCGATCCAGAAATGTACGTCATAGAGGAGAGCGTCACTGCCTTCCTCTTTGTAAGTCTGTGGAGGAGGGGGAAAGGGTAATAGGCACTGTAACTGTGTGTTTTAGTAGAGGTTTTACGGCGCTCGCAACTGCATAAGGTCATATGAGCGCCAGAAGATTAGAGGTGTTACAAGAGAGTATCTAACATAAAAAAGAAGGAGGGGAGACAAGGGCGATAGATGTTTGATAGGAAAGAATAAGCAAACCACACCAGAGCACCCGCCAGCCACCCACGTACTGTAACTGTTAGTCTTTTACACCCTCAACGACCAAATTAAGATTGCTTAGTGTAGTTTTAGTTAGAGTTTTAGGGCACTTGTAACACAAGTAGGTCGCGTAAGTGCCGATGATTGTAGGAGGGGGTTTTTTTCTTCTTCTTTTTCTTTTTTTTTTTTGAACTAGTAGAGATTAAAATACTCGGAGACGATGACAAAAGGAAGGTAGTGGTTTAATATTAGAGAAGGAGCAAATGACACCCAAACATCTGCCAACCACCCACGTAAATTGTTTAGTCAGCAGGAAGTAGAAACAAAATTACTTTAACAACTTCCCGGTCCCTTGTCATTTTTTTATAGTAGAGGTTTTACGGCGCTCGCAACTGCATAAGGTCATATGAGCGCCAAGGGGTGGGTGTCAACTGAGAAGTCCTTACAGGGAATCAGGCTTACTCTGCTCATCTCTCTAGCCTCAACAGCACAAGGTCTGCTTCAACTATCAAGGCACCCCGGAAATAGCAGTTCACAAGAGAGTAACAAGCATACAAAAGAAGTAGAGGACAAATTAATGTAGATAGTAGGGATCAGGAGCAGGGAGCACGACGCAGGGGTAGGCCACGGGAAATATGGAGGAGATGTATAGAAAGGGACATGAGAGAGATGAAGCTCACTTGGAACGAGCTAAGAAAGCTGGCCCAGGACTGGAATAAATGGAAGGAGCTTGCATGTGGCCTATACTCTCCAAGGGGTAAAAGGCATTGATGATGATGAAGGATCAGGACAGAAAAAGCAGCAGTTCCCTCTAAGCTGTTCCGGCACAAAATGAGCATGACATTGATAAATCAGCCCCTTTATAATTGATCGCTTTTATTAAAGACAAACGGGTTAACCCAGATTTCGGAGGTTTCCAAAAATCTTTACCTACACCAAAAGTGGGCATTGCCCTATGTATAGGAGAAGTTTGGTTTCATTGGTGTGTATATTTGTTTGGTTATAGAGAAAACTCTCCTTGTATTTTAAAGAAACTGTACAAAGGGCACAAACTTTAACCGTCGATTTTCTCAAAACAGAATTTTCATGGATAGCCCCCTTGTGCTTAAAAGCGACCAATTCTACTGTGCATAAGA